CTGTACAATTCGTGCACTTGGGAGTTTATCGATGTTTTCTTGGGAATCTAACAAATTTGTAGTTTTAATAATATCTCCAGGAAATGGAAAAGAAGATTGTGATCTCTGAAGTAAACAAAATCAATCTACATGTATTAATTTTACATTATTAAGTATGACAGTGTGTACCTTTAATTTTGACTTGATTCATTTAAAGACTAAGAAAGTTATTTTATGTTGGTCTCCCACTACTCTTGTATTTCTTGTCTCTTTCTTCTGTGTCTAACAGTTCTTGCTTTGTGTGTTTCTTTTTGATGTTATTTGGCAAATGATCTTTTTGTATCTAGGGAAAAAATTCTTTCCTTTCAGAACTTGTGTATCTTTGCTGCTTTTGTTGTAATTGAGTTGTTTATGTAGAAATATATAGTTCAGTAAAACATTTGTGCCTATTTAAGTTGATAAAAATACTTCGGAAGCCCTTGTGTCTTAAAAAGATATTTTAGAGACCAGCAGATGGCATATTGGTTAAGTCGCTGGACTCCCACACAGTTGACCAGGGTTTGAGTCCCAGACTTGGTGGCTTAAAACCCATGCCAGGCCCAGTTAAAAAAACAAACAAACAAACAAACAAAAACACCTCATGCCAGGTACATGTGCATGCATGCCCAAAGTCTCAAGAGGAGAGTGGAGGAGAAGGGATTGTAGAGTAGCCATCCTCCCCGAGAGGTAATTTCTCACTTTCTGTCTCTCTGGCGAGCTCACGCCCCTTATAACAAAAATCTCTCTAAAAATATTTTGAAAGGTTTTGATCTCCCCAATTAGACTAATGTCCTCTAGGGCCACTTCCTAAACCAAAGCAAGAGTGGCAATATAGGTGAGGTATACCACCTTTCACAACAGAATGTAGGTCTTTGGAGTCTGCCAACATTTCCAGTTTCTGCCTTGGGACAGCCCTATGTGTGGAGATAATTAGGGCACACCTGCCCTCCAGCTGGTCACATTCTGCCTTGAAGAGGGCCCACACTAAGGCTTTTCTCAGCTCAAGAGGCACTTCTGCAGGGGCTAACCTTCTAATTAGGAGGGGCAGCAGAGTATGCGTGTTTGTCTGACTGTTGGAGAAAAAGCTCATCTCAGAGACACATCCTACTAAGATTTTCCCAGAGCTGTTTGAGCAGAACTTTCACAGGACAAAGTCTGTACCAGGCACAGAACCAATTTTTTCCTGAACAAATGGAGGAGGTGTGAATCCCAGCCCTCAACTCAGCAGTGAAAGAAATATGGCCTCTATTTTTCCTTCATTCAAGTTCATTTCTATTTTGAGCCCCTGTTCCATCAGCCTCATGGAATTTGATCCTAGTCAATTCTGGGACCTCTTTTTCTCCAGAGGTGAGTCCTTGAAAGTTCTGGGGGTCTTAAATATTGTTCAGATGTTAGGGGTAGGGGACCCACATCGGCCTAGTGTCTCATGTTCCTGTCACTGCCCTACTCTCTACCACCTGTATGTCATGCTTGGAAATACAGAAATTGCTCCGGATGGGGACAAGAAAGTCTTCAAGGTGAGGGGTGATTTCATCAGAGGGACCACTAGATAAACTAGATAGATATTTGTACAGGAGACAAGACCGGTGATAAGAAATTATTTCTGTGGACACAGTGCTTGCTTTGTTGAGGGTCACAGTCTAGGCCCTTACTGCTCACTTGTGAGTAGGCTTTGACCCTGACCACTGCGTAACCCACCTCCCATACGGGCCTTCTTACCCCACTTAAGGTCCTGTCTTTGACTTCTTCAGGCCTTTTGGCAAAGGTGACCTCACTGCTCTTTTGAAATAATCCTTCCATTACTGTGAAGTGTTCCTTCTCAGTTCTTGTCTCGCCTCTGACTCCTTCTTCCTGTTCTCCTGCTGTTTGTGTTGGGGTCTCCAAGGCTCTGTCCTGACCCATCTTGAATATTCTCTCCCAGGCAGATCAAGGCTTCCACAGTCATCTATACTCAAAGTGGCTGCCTATGCCCCGACTTGCACCCAGGACGTCCCCCTTTCACGTGTGCCTGCTGCCCCACCTTGTCCCAGTGTCCTGGATACCCAGAACACCTCACCTGCATATGTACAAACCACCGCCCCTTTCTCCAGGGCCATCCCCTGGCCAGCTCCCCCTCCCTGATAGTTCCCCCAATGCCTCCTCAGTGTCAGCATCATCTCTGTGCCCTCACCCTCCCTCTCCACCTCACTTCATCTCTTCATTCCACTTCTGCTGCTCTCACCAGACCTTCCCTGCCCCATTCCTGGTCCCCTCACAATGTCCTCCATTTTCTGATTCTTCTTATGCAAAGCTTCCATCTGCTTCTTCCTGAAGTGTGGGCAGGTCATCTTTTCTTGGCCTCTTCCCTGCCACAAAGACACACCAGGCTCTTCCACTGGCCTTCTTGCCTTGGCATTGCATTCTTTCTGTTCTTCTTGTTCATGCTGCTCCCTTTGCCTGGGGTACTTTCCCTGCTCTAGCCCCAATCCTTTTCTTAGGTCTTAGTCAAAGGCTTTGACCCTCAGATGAAATCAGCCATTCCCAGAGACATCTCTTGCCTCTTGCAGAGCTCCCTTTATACTCTTAGCTCTTCAACCAATTCATGCTCCACCCGTCACATAGCACTCCAGGCCCTGGGGCAGGAAGCGTGCCAAGGTAGAAGGACTCAGTGGCTTTCCACAAGTCTACTCCATTCCAGCAGAGAGGTGAGATGAGTCAGTGCAGGGTGAATGGAACGCACCCGATGGGATTTTTGAGGCTCCCTCTCAAGACAGAGCTCTCCCAGGTGACCAAGAGCAGAGCCAGTGTTCACCCAGTTTCTCCATAGCTGGGACGACCAGGCCACACTAAAGACCTTGTGAGACATCAGGCTCCAGGACTGCTGACCTTAGGAGGAACTCACAGTGACTCTCAAGTATGCCAGCTTCACTCTTCAAGCCCACTCAGTTCCTCTCTTTGGGTATTTTTGTGTTTTTCTAAGGATAGGCTGCGGACCAACTGCTTCAGGGCTATTGGGGTCACCAGCCCATCTCAGACAAACCTCCTGGATTTTAGGACTTTTGTGATCTGGGCCTGGCAGTCAGCACTCTAGTAAAATCCCTGTGCTAGACAGAACAATGAACCCAAAAGATAGCCACATCCTAACCCCTGGAACCTGAGTGTGTTACCTCCATTGCAAAAGGGATCTTCAGATGGAGAGATTACCCTGGACTCCTCAGTGAGCCCAGCCTAACCGCAGGAGTCCTTAAAAGCAGAGACCCTTTCCTGGTTGGAGACATGGATTGATCAAAAAGGCGGATCAAGAGACCCCATGTTGCTGGCTTTGAAGATGGAGAGGGGCCATGAGCCAAGGAGCGCGAGTAACCCCTATAAACCAGAAGAGGCAAGGGAACAGCTTCTCCCCACTCCCCAGCTTCCAGAGGAACCTAGTCCCATCAAAACTTTGATTGTAGCCCAGTGGGACCCATGTCGGACTTACTATAAGAAAATAAATTTGTGTTGTTTTAAGCCACAACATCTGTGGTGCTTTATTGTGGTAGCAATAAAAACCATCATACTCCTCTCATAAGCCTAAGGTTTGAGAGCCCCCTGTATAAATTTCCTTAGTGGTATGGTTTTACATCCTGTGTGCTCACTGATAACAACCTCTTGATTCTGGCTCCTGCTGCTGCCTGCCTGATTGCATGAACAGCTGAGTAAGTCTGGTTGGCCCAGCTCATCGTGCTTCACCCCCGGTCTGTTCGTAGGATGCTGCCAGTCGTGGATCAGCCATCCCGATGCCTGTTCCCAAGCCAGTCAGCTTCAGCCAGCCCTGGGATATCAGCCATGGCCCCCTGGGCTGCCATCATCAGGGCTGTGGATAGGGGAGGTAACGTGGCTGGTGTCCAGGTCATATACGTAGTGGTCACATAGGAGGAAGAGGGGTCAGGGATGACTTCACAGAGGACAAAGCTATGGGGCTGAGACCAGAGAACAGGTGTGGGTTTGCCAGGACAGAGCAGAGCGGAAGGGTGATTCCAGGCCCTTCTGCTTAAGCAAGCAGAGCTGTCTGGGGACAAGCAAGAAGCAGCTCGGTGTTGCTGGAGTCAAACCTGCGGAAGAGAAGGGAGATGGCAGCCAGGTCTCCCAGGGTTCAGTATAGCATGCTGCGGGGCGGCTCTCACTTAGGTGGGATGGAAAGCCCGAGAACTTTGAGAGGTGGGGATTGACTGGCAGCACTTGGAGAGTAGGAAAGGTTTGAAGCCCTCCTCCTTGGCTCTGAATTCCCTGCAGCTAGAGTCTAGATTTACTTTGGGACTTGGCTAGAAGAAGCGAAGAAAGGAAGAAACGAGGCAGAGAAGGTTCCAAAGGAGGAGGAGTAGTAGGTTGATGCACAGAAGATACAGCTGGGCCAGAGACTTCTATTAGGAGGACTTTCTATTGAAAAGGATTCTCTTTTTGAAGAATTCTTATCCTTTGCAGAACTTAGAAAGCAAACTCAGAGAATTATACAAGCCCGGTTAGACTCATTGGAGTCTCAAAATACTGAAATTACAGTAATTAAAGACAGTACTGGGGGCCAGCAGGTGGCGTAGTAGTTAAGGCACTGGACTCGCAGATAGCCATGGCTCTAGTCCCAGACCTGGCAGCTTGAAACTCACGCCAGGGTGCATGTGTGCCCAAAGTCCTGGGAGGAGAATGGAAAAGGGATTGCGGCATGGCCATCTCCCCCGGCAGGGTGGATTTCTCACTTTCCCTCACTCTCTCTATTTCCAGTGAGTGTACATACCCTATGCAAAAAAAAAAAAACCTAAAAAATTAAATAAAATAGTTGTTTTCATTTCTTCATGAGCAATACTGATGCATTATAAATACTCTTTATTAAGAGTTTACATAATGTTTGATACATAAAATAAACTTTATTTAAATATTTAAAATAATTCCTGAATATGAGCAATTTGTTCTGATCACTGCTGAAGTTCATATGCAGACGTTTAACTCTGAGGAACCACTACTCCATATGCACAGGGCATGGTCAGTGGTCTAATGGTGCTGCTCAGCACTGCAGCGCAAACTTCCTTCACAATCAGCCGGTGCGTCTAGGTTACCCACAGGGAACAGTAAGCACTCATCCCTTAACAGCTGCAACACCTGCTCCAGCTGTGGGTTGGTACGTGACGATCACCACACCTCTGCTTCCTTCCCCAGTTTTAAAAGAGTCACAGTGTCAATAAAAGTCACAGTCTCACACTCAAAGCTGATCTTTTGGGGTCTTTTGTGACCGTTCACATGCTTTTCAGGAAGAGGCCTGGCCTGCATCGGTTCATCTGAACACATCACACAGGGAGCCCTGGCAAACCTGGAGAAGGGCTCACTGATCCCACTCGCCGGGGTTCTGCTCATCACTGTCTTCCTCCGAGTCCGCGGACACCCTCTTGATTCTCTGGAGCGCTGCCTTGATGCTCCTCTCGAGCTCACTGGTTGGTTTACTGCTGGGGTTTGGGTCAGAGTCTGGGTGCACTTTCTTCAGTTTGACTCCTTGCCTGATGGCGGCCAGAATGTGCTCATTGATCGAGGAGCGGGGAGGGGGCAAAGCGGGCGCTTCCACTTTCCTGAGAAAGGTCTTGCCGTGCCTTAAAGAGGCCAACACCTCATCCATAGATCCTGAAATTGAAGAAGCAGAAAGAACTATCAAGAAAACACGCTCCTTCTCCCCAGGCTGTCAGAACAGTATTGTACCCGAGCAGGTAAATCACACATCAGTTAATGCCCTGGTTTGAACATACAGTCATCCTCACATTTTATATCTGCTAAAAAGATGAATGACAAGTTCCTTGTTTGAATATGGGATGGTTTACTAACTAGTATTTTATCTTCTTTTTTTATGTTGATTTGTTTCCTTTATTTTTCTTTTCTTTTTAGCTTCTGACATATGGCATGTGCAGTCATCAGGAGACAGAGGTAGAGAGGGAAAGTGAGAGATCATCCCCTGAGGGGTGGCCGCACTGCAGCCCCTTCTCTAATAATCTCTTGGGATGATGTTCAAGTCCGCCAGGTCCAAGACTTCAACCATGCAGCTGGCCATGTGGGATCTAGCACGTTAACCTCCATGTCACCTGCTGGCCAGTTTGTCTCTTTCATGAGGGTGAGAAACTAAGAAAGACAAAGAGGGATCAGCAGATGGCATGAAGGTTAAGTCACTGGACTCCCATGAAGTCGACTGTGGTTCAAGTCCTGGACTTGGCAGCTTCAAACTCATACCAGGCGTGTGTACGTGCATGTCCAAAATCCCCAGAGGAGAATGGAGAAGGGATTACAGCATGGCCATGCCCCTTGGGGGCTGATTTCTCACTTTCTATCTCTCCGATGAGCATACGCACACTATAGTAAAAATCTCTAAAACAAAAAAAGAGACAAAGACAAGCACCTTCTAGAAGGTCCACTACAGTCCTCCTCGAGCATTCCTACCGGCCAGGATTACTACACGCATACACACACCTGGCTTGTACAGGTCTATCTAGGAACTGAAACCCCAATCTCATAAGGATCAAGCATTATGGAGCACCTGTCTTCATACTTATCTTGACCTCTTATTTTCTACTTTTCCAAACCCAAAGCAACTTACAGATGCAGACACACACCTGTTGTTAGAAAGACTGTTTTTCGGCATGGTGGCACCTGCCCTATGGCAGAAAACTGTTTTTCAAAACGCAAATTATATCTTTTCTTGTGATCCCAAAAAGTTATGGATGCCTGGGTTGAAAGTAATCTATAGTGTATAACTTAGATTCCTCTGAATCCGTATCTCTTCCTTTTCCCTTTCCCCTTAAAAAAATGTTTTTTAAAAAATTTAGCCCACTGTATTTCTCTAACTTGACTCTTGGATATTCATTAGTGATGATTCATTCTGTGACAATGAAGTGAGTAGGTTCCCGTACACAGAAAGGCTTCAAGTCTTACGCAGTGGCTCCATGAACGGGAGGAGGTGGCACTGACACATTTTTCCATAGACAGTGGGTTTAATTCCACCTACGTTACCCTGAGGTGACTTACACGATTATTTCTGAGGGTGTGAAATGCTGTCAAAACACAGATTAGATCAGTGTTTCAAGATAATGAAGAGAAGAAGCTATTTTTCACTCTGGCACCTTGACACCCCCAAGGGGTAAAACCTGCTATCACCCACTAGACACAGGGGCATGATCATGGCTGCTAATTTAGAGCAAAAATCTCTCTAATTTTTTTTTAATTTATATATACATGTATATATAAATAGGTATTAAAGCTTCTGGATCCCACAGAGCTGACTGCACAGTTCAAGTCCCATACCTGGTGGCTTATAAAACACACCAGGCATGTTTATGTGTGTGCTCAGAATCCTAAGAGGAGAATGGAGAAGGGACTGTGGCATGGCCATCTCCCTAGAGGGTGATTTCTCACTTCCCCTCTCTTTCTCTCTGGTTAGTACAGATACTCCATAGCAAAAGAAACTGAGAAACAAGTGTACATAACATTTTGCTTGGATTTATCTATATATACCCCCAAAAGCAGTGGGCTCCTGAGTCTGGGCAGAGTTAAGCCAGTTTCCTCAACAGTCAGTGTATAAAACCATAATTAGAATTAGGAGTAAGAACTAGAGCTTTGGGGCTGTGGTGTGGTGGTTGAGGGCACTGGACTCCCACATGGCTGACTGCAGTTCGAGTCCCAGACCTCACTCCCCCTCACACTCTCTCTCTGCTTCTCAAATTTAAAAAATTAATGACACTAAATAAATTTTTTAAAAGAACTATAGCTTGATTAAACAAATACTCAAGTGTGTTTGCCAAGACAAAAAGTAGCCTGCCCTTTTTTTTGGAAATACTATATTTTAGAAAGATTTGCAACAGTAAAGTTTATTATTTTAAGAATTATTTTAACTTCATTTATATTATTTTAAATTTGATCAGAGAGGGACAGAGAGAGAGAGGGAAAGTAAGAAAGCAAACTGCCAGATCCAGGACTCGAACTGTGTTCAGCCATCTGGGAGTCCAGTGCCCTTAACTACCATGCCACCTGCCGGCCCCAGCAACAATAAAATTTCTGAGTGTCAATCAATATTCAAGAGCAGCCTTCAACATTCTGGCTATTACTCTTTCACAATCGTTTTCAAATAATTTCCTGTTTGAAATGCAACAATTTAATTCTGTAAACTTGGAGGCCCAACAGTAAACTTAATTTAAAGCAGTATTCAAAATATTCTAAAGGCAGAAATCAAATACATATTAAAATCTTAAACTTGAAATAAGTTATATATCAGTACTTTAACCACCTCAGAAATCCCAAGTCATATGATCCTTAAATGCATAGAATATTTCTTCAAGCTATGTCAGGACTTATTAAGCGCAGACTTTGGCTAAGCTAACTTTGCAATAAAAAAGTCATATGTGGGACCAGCAGATGGCGTAATGGCTACATCGCTGGACTCCCATGAAATTGACCATGGTTCAAGTCCTGGACCTGGTGGCTTAAACTCACGCCGGGTACGTATGCGTGCGTGCCCAAGATCCCGAGAGGAGAATAGAGAAGGGATTGAGGCATGGCCATTCACCCTGGGGGGTGATTTGTCACTTTCTGTCTCTCTGTCTGTCTCTGTCTTTCTGGCGAGCGCACATGCCCTATAGCAAAAACCTCTCAAAAAAAAAAAAAAAGTAATATGCAAGGCAATAGACACTGGGATATTTCAAGATTACAGAGAATCTCGAAAAGACACTGAATTAAAGATCATGGTTTCTAAAGTTACAGTGTTTCAACACCTTAATAACCCATGGGGAGCAGGGACAGAGTCCCAGTGATTACCTGGGCACTGAAAACTTTCCAAGGGATCGCATGGTCTTTCAGCAGGTGGTTCACACACTAGAGGAAGCGGCTGATCGTCTTTTACTGAAGTCCTGAAGCCCAAGTTCTTATGAGTTGCAGTTTGAGAAGACAAGGACAGAGCGGGGAGAGGTGGCGGAGGTGGTGGAGGAGGAGGAGGAGGAAGAGGAGGAGCGGGTGGCAGTGACGGTTCCTCACTGGATTTGGAGGGCATCTGGTCACCAACTGGAACAGACATCTGGACGGGAATGTCTGCAACACAGTCTTGACACCCAGGGGTTCTCTTATTAGTGGCTTCCAGTAAGGGAGCACTGCTGGTTTTCCTGGAGGACGGGTGAGCGACTGACCCCGTCCGAGAAGCTGGTGAGGATGTCCACTGGGAGAGGCCACCTGGTAGGTTTGGAGCCGCGGGTTCTGAGCGAGGGATTTTTCGTACAGTTCGAGCAGGACATTTCTGAAAATGAGAAACTCTTGTGAGAAACTTGCCACAAATGCGAGCTGTCAAAATGCTGACACTTTGTATAAACACGTCTGTAACAGAAGCAGTTCTGTGCATAAGCTCTTATTCACAGCGTGGCTCCTTGTCATTGAGACAGCAATCCTTGCCACCCTTAGGTCGTTGGAGAATATGCAAAAATGTGTCATGACTTTACAACAGCCCAGTAGATCCACTTTTCTTGTGTTAAAAAGTAAGCGGTTAGATCCTTTCATCAAGGATTATCTCCTCTGTCATTAAATGAAGATGTGAAGACATATAGGTGAAAAGACTCATCTTACTTTTAGTCTGAAATACGAGAAACTCGAAATACCAACAATAGGAAGTTAGCTGAAAAAATATTGGCAAATGTATTTAAAATCTTAAGTGGCCATGAAAAATATATAGTGCAAAGTCTGTGAAATGTGAAAAAGATGGTAGAGTGTTCAGTGAAAATAGCAGGATCCAAAATAATAGGTGTTAGGATTATAAACACGTAAAAAAGACAGGTGTAGGAAATACCAGCAGAGTGACTATCAAAGTGACAGGTGTCACAGGGACTGTGGTATTTCTTTTTTCTAACTTTCAGGCCTAAAGTAAATTTCATAATTTAAGAAATTAAATTTAAAAAAGGTCTCGTGTCTCAGGTGTTAGCTTGATAAAGAAAAATCTAACCCTCCAAATAACTATGGGACAAAGGAGGTCCCTAACAAAGGCACTGATGGGCTGGCTCTGTGGCCTGGTAGTTAAGGCAGCTGTTCAAATCCCATACCCAGCTTGAGAAACACACCGGGCACATATGCATGCCTGCCCAAAATCTTGAAAGGAGGGAAAGACAGAGAAGGGACTGCACTGTGACCATTCCCCATGGGGCATGCTTTTCCCCCTCCTCTCTGGCAAGCACATGTACTTCTAGCAAAAACTTAGGCACCAACTAGCCAATGAAGTATAAAATGTAATACCATAGGGCTATAAATGAACAGTGTCTACATATATTAACATGAATATACATCAGAAACATATCTGAGTTAAGCTGGCAAAGGATGCTTACAACATGGTACTGTCACTGTTACACGCACACATCGTACAGTCCATGACTGACTCGGTATTTCCCGCCCCCCCCTCACTCTTCTCTTCTCAGGACAACAGAAGATGATGGCAGCAAGCCCCGGCCCCACTGGAGCAGTTAGAGTTAGCATCCCAGAAACTTGGAGCCTGAGGGCTCAACGCCAGTGGTCCTTCAGTTGACCTTTGAAGTTGGGAAGTCCTCAGCCACCCAAAGGTCCCCGTTGGACATCCCAGCAGCAACATATGGCTGTGAATCGGGACCGTAAAGTCTGCCTTACACTGTCTGCCCGAGACAAATCCTTTACCTCGCGAAAGCCCTTCAGAAACAAAAAACAGCTTCTCTGATCTCGACCAGTGTCGTGTACACACACTTCCATTTCTTGTCCTATCTTTCTCTCGCTTGTTCCCTTCCGGATGTGCTCCAGTTGGCTGTATCCCCTTTGAGGGTGGCACTTCTCAGTGAACACAGATCCCCTCATTCTACAGAGGGTGCTTCTGTTCATATGTCCAAAATCCCATGGGCTTACATCATACAAGTCACTCATGTGAAGCTGAAAAAGACTAAATTCTCGAGGTTCTTTTCACCTGAATTTAAGCCACACAGACTCTCTGTCACCATCCTGAACAAGTGTACATCTCTATAATGAGATTTTTTTGGACTAAAAGAGCTCGTCATTTATCCTTATATTAGGTCAACTCGTTAGATTTAATTCATCGTTCCAGTTTGTTGGGAGCTTAGGAGGCCTGGTTCTGTCATCTTCAGTCTACTGCTTCCATGTTCATACCATCCCACTTGAAGACTTGATACGCTATACTGCCCGCTAACTCATGTGAGTCAGGGCTAAGGAGACAGACTTGCAGCTATCTTCGAATCCCTTCCTCCACACTGATTTCATTCTGCTAATCAGTGCTCCTGGTGACAGCAGCTAGCCAGTTACTCTCCACATCATTGGCTCTCCATTAATCTGGTATTTCCGTAGCTCCCCTTCAATTCATTCTTCCCACCCTAATTCTTCATAACCAGGTTTGAGCCAGTACAATTAAGTCAGACTCTTTGGGCATGGATCTGGGCATTGGTAAAGGCTCCCCATTTGAGAAGTCTTGATATGACTGGACTAAGGGACCTGGTCTCTCTTCCTGCTCTGTTTAACCTCGAGCTAAGTCATATAAATATCCTAAGCCTTGGTTACTCATCTGTAAAATGGTAAAGACAGTATCTCACAAGGCTGTTTGAAAATTAATGAGGGCTGGGGGACCAGCTGGTGGCATGGTGGTTAAGGCGCTGGACTCTCCCACATGGCCAACCACAGTTCAAGTCTGGGACCTAGTGGCTTGCTTTCTCATTCTCGCTCTCTCTTTCTGTCTCTCTGTCTGTCGATGGTCAAATTAAAATAAATGAATTAATAAATAAAATTTTAAAAACATATTAATGAGGGCCTGCTCCATGGCACAGAGATAATGTGGTACTCAGAAGCCAGATCCCACATGCTGACCACAGTTCAAATCCCAGCCCAGTCAACCTAAACATCAGGCACTCACCTAAGTGCCCAAGAACCAACAGAAGGATTCTCAGGACTGAACAAAGGCGATCTCAGTGTGACCAGACCCTACAGGAGCTGCTCCTCTCTCTCCTACCCCCTTTACTCTTACGTGTGTGCACATGTGCCCTATCATGGATAAAGGGAAATAAATGAGAATGAATGTAAGGTCCCTAGCACAGTCCTACCTCGTTTGCAGAAAGCACCCAATAATGGCGGCCCTTATGGTCAAAATACGCTATGATACTGGTAAGTGTGTCAGAAAACAAGGTCAAGTTGGTAGTTATTATTTGGTTGTTGGCATTGCATAGTATTCCTTTTTTTAAAAAAAAAAAAACTATCATTTTTTTAAAGAATTATTTTATTTAACTCTATTTATTTTTACATTTTTGACCAGAGAGGGGTAGAGTGAGAGAGCGAGAAAGTGAGGAAGCAAGCTGCCAGGTCCAGGACTCGAACCATGGTCGGCCATGTAGGAGTCCAGTGCCCTTAACCACCATGCCACCTGCTGGCCCCAACATTGCATAGTATTCCTTCAATTCCAGAATCTTATCTGATGGGTCAGTTCCTCTTTAGAAGGCAACAATAAATTTGGGTCTTTGAGGGGAGGATAGGGATGACAACAGGTCTAAATTTTATAGTCAACAACTCAATGATATTATTAAAGAAATTCCTATTTACTTTTTTTTTTTTTTTTTAATATATCTATCTTAAGACCAACACTTTTACCGGCTAACAGGTGGTAGGGTGGTTAAGGCTCTGGACTCACACATGGCCAACCACGATTTGAGTGCTGGTGCCAGTCCTAGAGTCCTCAAGCCAGTGGCTTGAAAATCACACCAAGCGTAGGTGTGTGTGCACCCAAAATCTGAAGAGGAGAATGGAGGAGAAGGGACTGCAGCATGACCATCCCCCAGGAGGGAGGGGGTGACTTCTCACTTTCCCCGTCCCTGTCTCTCTCTGGGAAGCGCATGTGCCCTATGGCAAAAAGCTAAAAAAAAGAAAAAGCACTTTTACTACACTTATGCCACAATCCTTCCTTGATGACATTGTAAAGAATTCTTTATTATAAATTAGAGGAACAGCCAGCTTGGTCTGGCTTGGTAGCACAGGGTAACACACTGCTCACACTGCATGTAGGATCCACACGGAAGATTGGGGATTTGGTTCCCCAACTAACTTGAACATGCTGGGCTTGTTGTACACGTCCCACAGTCCTGCTGGCTCGGTATGCAATGAGGTGATCATGTTATGGGACCCTGTTGCAGGCACCTGTTTGTCTCTCTCTCTGTTGAGGGTACCTGTCTCTTTCTGTGTCTCTTTCTCTTACTGTTCTTCATTCTAATGGAAGAAATTTAAAAAAAAAAAAAGCTAGCTAAAGTTGAGGGTAGTTTAACTATTTTCAGTTTTCCCTAGTGCGCTAAAGCACGGTGGTTTTAGTTAGCACCATTCAGTGAGGAGGGGAGAGCAGGAACTCGAGTGCGGTGATGCCAAAAACAGCAAGTGTTTGACATGTGGTTGTGAAATATATTGATTTTCTATTTTTTTTGGTTTTTATTAATTTACCGCAAATAATGTGGGTTTTTTTTATTTTTTTTTAAAAATACTTTATTTAACTTTATTTATTTGCTTATTTATTTTAATTGGATCAGCGAGACACAGAGACAGTGAGAGAGAGAGAGAAAATGAGAATGTAAGCTGCCAGGTCTGAGACTCAAACTGGGGCCAGCCATGTGGGAGTCCAACGCCCTTAACCCCTATGCCCCCTGCCGGCCCCAAATGTTTTTTGTTTTTTGTTTTTAATTTGCCAGAGGGTATATATGCTTGGGGTTTGGGGCATGCACACATTTGCATTCAGTGTATTTATCAAGCTGTGGGGCTGGGATTCAAACCACATGGTTGGCCATGTAGAATCCATCTCATTTAACCACTAAGCCATATAACTAGCTCAATGGTATCTTTTTTTAAGGTTCTTGCCATAGGGCACATGCACTCAAAAGAGAGTCAGAGAGAGACAAAGCGAGGGAATGTGAGAAATCACCCACCCACGGGGGATGGCCATGTGGCAATCCCTTCTCCATTCTCCTGGGATTCGAGGCATGGAGGCACATGTGCCAAGCATGGTTTTCATGCTGCCAGGTCTAGTATTTGAACTATGGTTGGCCATGTGGGAATTCAGCTCTTTAACTACCACACCATCTGCTGGCCCCAGCCCAATGGTATTTTCGAAATATTTCATCTTCTAAATTATCTGTTCTTAATACTTCTTCGGTTTTGTTTTGTTTTGTTCTTTTATTAATGATAGAGTGTGTGTGAGAAAAAGACAGAAAAAGAAGTGCCCTTCTTGGGGCGTAGACACTCCAAGATCTCCTTCCTCCAGGTCTCCAGTCCATGAGAATCCTGGGCATGCACTCCTCTACCCAGAGTGTTTTCAAGTCAGCCAGGCTGGGAATTTTTACTGTGGTTGGCACATGGTTTCCAGCTCCACAATCTTGTGCACTGCGGACTGTACCGCGGAGGCTGGGCCCTGCTCATAATACTATATACTTTCTTCCTAGGTTGGGTGCTTTTCATTTATTTTCCCAGAAAATGTAAGTGAGGTGATTACTTCTAGATCCTACCTCTTTAAATGCTCTCAATCGCTGGAGTGTCTTTTGGCGTTCTTGGTTTATCCATTCTTTTTTCTTTTGCTCCTCTTCTTTTATCTTGTCTCTTTTCTGTATTAAAAAAAAAAAAGTATTTGTAAATGATTCAGATTACAATCAAATATGTCATCACAAAGAAAAGGGCTGTATCCTAACATTCCACCGGGTCTGTGCCCAGGCTGCAGGACTGCAGGAGGGTTCCCTCTGCAGACCCAGCCGTGCAACTCCAGTTTCTGCCAGTTCAGTCTAGTGTGGCACATCACACAGACATAAAGCACGTTCCTTCAGCCACTTACCATCTGAATGCTGTGATGCTGATGAAAATATCTTACACTTTCTTCAGCCTGCTGCAGTCTGAGCCGATGGTTTTCTTTGCATTGATCCTGGTGGAAAAATACAGTTTTTAATATTACTATGGTATAACATAAAAGCTTAAAAGAAAAGACCACTGCATTCGGGCTGTAGTGGAAGGCATTCATTGATATCAGTTTGTGCTAATAGTGCCACTGCTTGGGAGGCCAGAAGCCTCAAGGGAGGCCTGGATTTGGTTCCTGGACCAAGCTGAACTTGCTGAGCATATTTACATGCACCTGTAAGCCTGCCTAATAGGGAGGCTGGGGCAGGAGGATCGCCACACAGAGAGACCCTGTCAAAAATACCCATCTCTGTCTCCCCCTCCCTTTCATACAGGAAAAGAAAAGAGAGAGCGAAAGAGAGATTTAAGCAATTTGCTTAAGGTCACGTGGCTACCAAGTGACCAGCAAGTAATGTGAACTCAAGTTGGACTCTTGACGTTAACCTCACTTCCCTTCTATTAACCCAGGGCCTTCCAAACTCTAACACTGCCGAAGGCCCCCTAACTGAGGGAGCAGGAGGGATTCGATCTGGAGGATGAAGTTAATGCTCCAATCTGGCTAAGAGAAGGCATAGCTGTACTGCCAAGGAGGTGTCCGAATCTCTGCACCTCACAGCAGCTCTGGGTACCATGGGAGCACCAAAGGACCCTGCCCATGAGTTTTCTGAAATACAGAGCAAAAAGCAAATGGAAGTCATCTGAAGAGGAGCTCTTAAATTCAGGAGCTATCATTTTTTTTTAATGTATTTAGTTTTATGTAATATTTTTCATTTGCTATAGGGTACATGTGCTCACCAGAGACATAGTGAGCCAGAGAGAAAGCAAGCCACCAGGTCCGGGACTCAAATTGTGGTCAGCTATGTGGGAGTCCAGTAACTCAACCACCACACCATCCACTGGTCACTCTGATTCTTAAATACAGACATGGTAAAAATATATTCTTTCTTTTTTTAAAGGTTTTTGACCTAGGGTGCATGCATTCAACGAAGAGAGACACACAATGACAGGGAAAGTGAGAAATCACCTCCACAAGGGGGACGGCCACACTGCAATCCCTCCTCCTCTATTCTCCTACTGGGATTTTGGGCATGCAGACACATGCGCCTGGCCTAAGTTTCAAGCCAGCAGGCCCAGAACTTGAACTGTGGTCAGCCATGTGGGAACCCAGTGCCTTAACCACTAATCCACCTGCTGACCCAAAAATATATTCTTCTAACAAGATTTTGGTTTTATTTTTAAGTTTTTATATTTGTGTGAAAGAGTAAAAAATACTTTTGTAAGCAACAAAAGAAGTCAGAATTTTCCTGTTTTTCTAATTTCAGTAAGAAAACTAGAGTAAATAATAAATATGGAGTAAATACACTTAAAATTCTAGAGCAAAATAAAATAAAGGAGCTTTTTTTTTTTCTGTTGGAAAAAAAAAATTACATTTCTGTAGGAAAAGATGTTACCCTTTTAGGTAATTGTAGGTATTGCCATTTCTTTTTAAATTCTCAAGTCCTGTAGCCTAACAGTTAAGGGAACTGCGTCCCTCATGGCTGGCTGCAATTCAAATCCCAGTCCTAGCAGCTCGAAAAACATACTAGGCGCTGTGCCTGACAGGATGGGGAAAGAGAGGAGTGATTGTGGAGTGACCGCACCCCACTGAGGGGCGCTTTCTCTCTCCTCCTCCGTCTCTCTCGGGCCGGCACATACACCCTCTGGCAATTAAAAACATAATCATTCATCTAATAAAAGGTCTGATGTAGGCTGACTATATCTATGATTGATACTTTTAAATCAATTCCCTACAGTAAAATATGTTTTATAATTTGACGTAGCTGCTCTACATAGAATTTCTGCCTATTATCATTTTAAGAGTGCCTGTGTATGCCACGGACATCCAAGACATAGTTGCTGAATAAATTAAAGTCTAGAGATTACAGAAAATATGTAAATCCCAAGAGAAACAAAGTTTGTTTGTTTGGTTTTTCTTTCTTTTTTTTTTTTTTTTTTAAGGTTTTTTGCCATAAGGCATATGTGAGTGCCAGAGAGCAAGGGAGACAGGTGGAGGGAAAGTGAGAAATCATCCCCTGGGGAGACAGCTACACAGCAAGCCGTCTCTTCCCTCCAGTTTCCTCTTGGGATCTTGGGCACGCATGTGCATGTGCCCAGCATGATTTTCATGCTGCTAGGTCTGAGACTCGAACCACAGTCAGCCATGTGGGAGTGCAGTACCTTGATCATCACAACCACCTGCTGGCCTTACAGAGAATCTTTTTAAGGAGTATATTTAAACTATATTTGGGGGACCAGCAGGTGGCATGCTGGTTAAGGTACTAGACACACCTACATGACTAACCCACTATTGGAGTCCTGGACGTGGTTGCTTGCTTTCTCACTTTACCTCTCTCTCTGTGTGTCTCTCTCTGGTCAAATTAAAATAAGTGAATGTATAAATAAAATTAAATAAATAATTATTTTTAAATTAATTAATTAAAATCTACTTTAACATAGGGCCAGCGGATGGCATTGTGGTTAAGGGCGCTAGACTCCTACATTGCCAACTGTGGTTTGAGTTCCGGCCCTGGCAGCTTGCTTTCTCACTTTCCCACTCTCTCACTCTGTCCCTCTCTGGTCAGATTAAAATTAATTAATTAATTAAGTTAAATAAAAAATTCTCTAAAAAAATACAAAAAAATATTTTCACTATAACCACTGATACATATATAAACATGCAAAAAGTTTTAAGTACGCCTTTATCTTTCATAAAAAGGAAATTCCTCAAAGAAGAGGCAAAGAAAGTGTCCCTGGGCATCCCAACCTTTCTGTTCCTGAGATAGGCTCTTCTGGCACAGATCTTGCCCCGCTTGGACTCCAGCTGCTGGCACTGCCGGCTGAGTTCTCGCACTTCCAGATCCTTAGGGTCCTGTAGCCCCACCTCTCTATCAATGTCTTTCAGTTCCTCTGGACTTTCACATGGATCATAATAGACAACTTCATCCTGTTTCTCTAAAACAGAATGATAATTTTTTAAAAAGATGTTTTATTATAAAAAAAAAATCCACAAAATACTGTTAAGTGTAAGGAAAGTTATTTTTTAAGAAAGATTTTTGCTAAAAAGTGTTTATTCTTGCCAGAGAGACAGAGACAGAATGCAAAAATTCACTCCCCCAGGGGAATGGCAATGCTGCAATCCCTTCTCTTCCATTTTCTTCTCAGGATCTTGGACCCACATGCACATGTACCCAGCATGAGTTTTAAGCCACCAGGCCTGGGACTTGAACCACAGTTGACTATGTGGAAGTCCAGCAACATAACCATTATGCCATCTGCTGGTCCCAAGTGTAAGGAAAGTAAAGATCCCATGTAATCCACTACCCAGGAAGGACCACTATCAAGATGTATGAATGGGACCAGCAGGTAGCATGGTGGTTAAGGCACTGGATACTCCCACATGGCCGACCGTGGTTCAAGTCTTGGACCCGGTGGCTTGCTTGCTCGCTCACACTCTCTCTCTCTCTCTCTGTGTGTGTGTGTGTGTGTGTGTGTGTGTATGTGTCTGCTCAAAATAAATGAATGAATAGATAAAATTAGATAAATAATTATAAAAAAAAAATAGATGTATGAATAGACATAGAGATATACACACTTACTACTTAGAGTGTCCAGAGTTCTAACAGAACATTTCTAGGTGATGGAAATATCATTTTAATAGCAACATAGTGTTCTCTGATTTAAACATTTCTTGTCATGAGATTGTTCCAATACTCCCTTATTATCCATTTCACTGTGATGGACATTTCTGTATATAAATATTTTGAGTACATCTTTTTTCTTTGTGTGTGTGTGGTATATTTTTTGGTGGGGGGAGAGTTTTTTTGCCATAGGGCGCATGCGCTTACCAGAAAGACAGAGAGAGACAGAGAGAGAGAAAGTGAGAAATCACCCCCTAGGGGGGATGGCCACGTTGCAATCCCTTCTCCATTATCTTCTCAGGATCTTGGGCACGCACGCACATGTGCCTGCTTGAGTTTAAACCACCGGATCCGGGCCTCAAACCATGGTGGGCTACATAGGAGTCCAGTGACATAGCTATTACACTATCTGCTGGTCCCTTGAGTACATCTTTTATTACTTCCTTAACAGATGAATATGTAAATAGCTCTTGGTACCTATTGCTAAATTGCCCTCCAGAAAGGCAACCTACATTCTACCTACAATTTATTGTTAAGATATCTTAATGATACCAAAAAAAAAAAAAAATACATGCTCATTGTAAGAAATTCAAACCCAACAGAAGTGCTTAAAATAATACAAAAAATGGAATTTTCTTATTTGCTCCATATCTTCTGAATTCCATTTCCAGAGGGAAATATGAACAATTTGGAATTTTATCCTTCCAGATTAACTTTTTTTAACAATATTTTTTTCTAAACATGCAAAATACTTATTACTTGAAATTATTGCAAAAAATTTTTGAAGCCCTAGGATTAAACTAAATGTTGAGGATCTGTATGACGAAAATTATTCAACTTGGAGGAAATTTAGAGAAAAACAATTTAAATAAATGGAGAGACATACCATGTTCTTGGGTGGGAAGATTCAAAATTGCAAAGACGACAATTCCCCCAAGTAATCTCCCATTTTAAGCACAATCCCAATCAAAATTCCAAGTTTTGTTTGTTTGTTTTGCACTTGCCAAAGTGATTCTAAAGTTCATCTGGAAGAATAAAGGAATGAAAATAGTCAGAAAACTTGGGGAGAAGACAAAAGTAATGAAGGGGGTGATTGCCTTATGAGATACTAAAATGTGCCTCTAAAGTTAAGTGATAGGAACAATATGGAGTCGGCATCAAAGCCACTCAAAAATCAAAGGAGGAGAGTAACAACTCAGATTGGTCAGTCTAGTAATTCTGGATATGAGACAGGCAGCCAGTGAGGGCAGTAAAGAAAAAGATTTTTTAAATGAGTGATTACGACTGTTAATCATTAGATTCCTACCACAATCAAAATTAGTTTCCCCTGGATTAAAGAGTTAAATATTTTTGGGACCAGCAGATGGCATAATGGCTATGTCACTGGACTCCCATGTATTCAACTGTTTCGAGTCCTGGACCAGGTGGCTTAAACTCACACCGGGCACGTGTGCATGCATGCCCAAAATCCCAAGAGGAGAATAGAGAAGGGACTGTGGCGTGGCCATCTCCCCTGGGGGGGGTGATTTCTCACTCTCTGTCTCTCTGTCTTTCTCTGTCTTTCTGGTGAGCACACATGCTCTATAGC